ATAATATTTTTTTTTATCTTTTGGTTTGATGGTCTTTATTGCACTTTGTTGTGGTCAACAGCATACTAATTTCATTGCACATGACCGTGCAATGACAATAAAGTCTATTCTATTCTATGTATCCTTAATTTGAGATACACTTTATAAACACGTAGAAAAAGGTTCGTTCTTGCCCATGTATATCTATGCATACCTTGATTCTGCAGTAGAGAGCTGTAAGGATGATGCCGTACAAAAACAGGATTCCATCCAGCACATAACAAATCTCAGGTTCTGTAAGAGCGGCTGAGGAAACACAGGAGAACAACTCGTCAGAAGTCATACCATAACACCAGCATTTCTTCATAGGTTGATAACACTGCTAGTATCTAATACTTTAAAGTGATTACATTCTGCAGACTCTTGGCATTGAAATGCCATCCAATCCGCCTTAAACCGCACCTAATTGTTGCTTCATTGTATCATCTTGTTTCTGGTGTATTTTGGGCAGCACACAAAGCAACACATATTTTGCGGACACCTGTGTCTCATCATTTCACGTGACAAACATTTCTACCAGACTGGATGACGCTGCTTCACTGTCATGTAGCAGTGTCACTACTTCAAACTTGGAAACAAGCAGCAACAGCTGCCATTACATAGAAGCCGAAGTGTACAATGGAAACTCAAAGTTTTATCTTGAATAGGGCCAGGGAAAATATAAATATGCCATCTTATGTAAAATAATTGTCATATACCAGGATTTAATTGTGTTTTAATCACTAACTTTGACAGAAATACCCTGAGACAATCAAACAGGAATTATCTGTATTTCAGATGGATAACACTTTAAGGAATACTTCGTGGTTGGCACAGTGGAACAGAGGGTAGCCCTGTCCCCTCACAGCAAGAACATTCCAGGTTCACGTCTCGGGGCCTTTCTATGTTCTCCCTGTTTCTCCAGCTTCCTCCCACAGTCCAAAGACATGCAGCTTAGGTGGATTGGCAACTCTAAATTGCCTGTAGGAGTGAGTGTGTGTGGTTGTTTGTCTATATGTGAGCCTTGTGATAGACTAGCAACCTAGACGTAACCTGCATCTCACCCAATATCAGCTCCGCAACCCTATTCAGGAATGAGCGGTATAGATAGTAATACTTTGTCCAAAAATGTAGTGGAATAAAACATCTCTCCTGGCCTCCATGTTAAGATGTATGTCGATATCACACTATCATGAGTGTCCCATGAGACTAAAGTATCTAGTTTAGGTGTTTAAAAATGACCCAGAAACAGTAAACAGATTAATGTTATTGACAAGGCTTGGTTTGACAGTAGAGCAGCCAGCAAAAATGTTATGTGAGGTATTTCTAAAGATACAGCATTTTTAAAAAACCTTAACACTCAGCCAGCAGTAGCCGAATAAAAATGTTGTACAGTACAAGAGTGTCCGACTCTGGGCTCTGCGCTGTATATTTTTAATGCTGTTAAAATTGTTTTTGATGCAAAAGGTTTTTTAATTGGCTAAATATCACTGTTGTAATTATGAGTAATTAGTCAAATGTGTGTGTACTCATTTTATTACTGATGTTTTGGTCCACAAACCTCCAGGTAAAATGATTCAAGTTATGATCATCTGAAGCTGTGAGATGAAAAATGATGGGATGTGATATTTGTAATTTTAACGAGTAAGGAAAGTTTAAAAGACTTGCAAAAAGGTACTTTGCAAATTGACTTGAAAATGAAAACTTTATACTTTAAATGTGCCAGTAATTCTGTGTTAAATACATACATCATTTTAACTTGTACAGTTTTACCAATCTAATCTAAAACTCTAAGGTTTCTCTTCTTATATTTAGATGGAAGAACTGTGACAACGTTTCTATGATGAAATCCTAATACACGTCATTTTCCGTCATGTTCCTTCCTTCCCACTTTCTTTCTTCTCCATTACAAATTTGAGGAAATGAATCACTTTTCTAAAATTGGCAATCACAAGATTGTTTCCCAAATAGAGAATCCCTGTCTCCCTTTCAGAATGACAGAAAAATTCCATTTCCGCTTACTTTGTATTACATTTAACTGAAATCCTGACACTGGACAGTTTTGTGTTATGGGTTCTGAATGCTCAAAGATCCAGTTGGGTTAACAGAGAGGTGACAAATATGTAATGGTTTTGTAATGGCTTCTTTAAATTGAGTTTCAGCGCTAGCCCGTGAGCCAGAGATAGTGGTTATCTGCCATCTCCTTTAGTTTCCGCATCTCACGTTAAAAGGAAACAGCAAACCACGCGTAAAATAACTAAGTTTGATATTAATCGTTGACTAATGTCACGTGTGATTAATGGCAGACTGTCCACAATCAGTCTACAGAGTCTATGTGCAGTTAAATTTATTGCAATAAAAGGCGTATGTTTTAGGATTTAAGAAGGCCAAAACATAAGGTGTCAGGTAAAGTGGGTAAATACACTTACACCCACCCCAGTAGCTTTGTTTAGGTTAGAACAAGTTAATTACGCAGCACATAAAGCAAAGAGAGGAAGCATGATGTTTGTAAAAATAAAATTGTTCTCTTTTTAAAATGTCATCCACCAGTTGGCTGTGACTTTGCCTTATACTGTGGAGCACAGATAGCAAAAGTAGGTCGTAGTCAGTTGCGGTTTGGGATTAAAAGTTGAATAAATTGGGTGTAACATCTCTTACACAATGAACGAACCTGTCTGATTAGTATGTTAAGGTTACAACTAACAAATATTTTCGTTACTGAGTTATTTTCTTGACTAACTGGTTTATCATTTGGTCTATAAAATGCCTTGAAGTGGTGAAAATAGTAATGTGAGGAAAAGCTGCGATTCCCCACATTTGAAAAGCTGGAACCATTTGGAATGCTTTAAAAAAATTAACTTAAATGATTAATTATTAAAATAGCTGCAAATGAATTTTCTGCCAAGCACTTAATTGAGTTATTGTTCCAGCTCTATAATTGTACCATTCTTAATGTGTTCTATTAGGCCTCCAGTATTAACTGCCATTTAGTCTTGTTGCTCACCTTTCCTAATATTTAATTCTGTTTTCTGCCATTTCACTGCTGCCACCTAAAGCTACGTTACATGGTTGTCTTTAATAAAATATATGTAACGGAACATAACAGTAAAGTCAATATAAACTAACTCTGGTGGCAGATGAAATTTTTAGGAACTTGACGATCTAATAAACCAAACTCATTTATCTGAGGCAGGGTGTGACATGCATGAGAACTGTCTCAGCAAGTGTGCCAGTAAATAAAGTCACACCAGTGTCTGTAGCCCTTGCCACAAGTAGCGACAACTGTCAGGGTCAGCTTCTGTTTCACAGGAACTAATGTGGTGAATATAATCATACTGCCAACAAAGACAACAGAATAAGGCCAAATGTCAGAAAACCTCACCACTCTGCATAAACATGCAACAGGCAGTTCAAGAATAATCATTCTGGCTGGGTGTGTTCTACAGTGCAACTAAATGTTTAATCTAGTTCATCACATCGCTCTCATCTTCACCCTGGTTAATATCAAACGAAGCTTCCCTTTTTTTCTTCTAAGTAAGGTTGTTCTTGACCAAAATTAAAAACAATCATCAATGTTTATACATAAAACTAGTGTCAGGACACAAAGCAATATAAAAACTGTAAGGTATAGGACATCCCAGCTTGTTACCACAACCTACCTGCTCTCCCAAAACACAACCAGAGCAGAACGGTCATGAGCAACGGACTCCTGCCCCACACAGCCATGGCAACACAGGCTCAACACGGTGAACAGTACTCCTTCAGCAGCACGCAAACAGCACACACAACTTGTGGGTGGTTTTTCTCCCCTCTGCATTCTGTTGAAGACTCCAGTATTGCATATCTCAGTCATGAGGGGAAGTTGTGGTCTGAGCTATAAGTCCACTTGTCTCAGCTCTCATCAAACCACTCCCCCTTAAATGCGGAACCAGAGAATTGGACATAGCATCAAGTCTCTGGCATGTTTAAAACTTGATTTTTCACTCGTGCTGTGCTTAAGATTGTTTCCAAGTGTAACAATGAAAAAAAAACAAACTATTCACTACTTTTGAGTTTGATCATAAAATATTTATTAGGGTTATCTGGGCATTGTACATCAGTGATTATGAGCAGTCATTTCTCAAAAGCCTCCCTACAATAAATAGTGAACAGGAAGTCAGACAGATGGGTAAAGGTGAGAACGTATTCTCTTCGAGGAACCAAGGTGTTAGCAACATCACATTAACGGTCAACCTCGCCAAACACTATGTCCTGTGTACCTGTCAGAAGAGGAAGAAAAGGCTCATTACAATCCAACCTCACTCTGTAATTTTAGTAGCTTGTTCTAGACCTTCTGTGATCTGATCCTTGCACATCTGAATGACAGTATTTAACTTTAGAAGAAAAGAAGTTAAACAACAATCACATTCTTACCAATAATGGCCACCACATCGGCCAGCATGTGTCCTTGAGACATTTTATCCAGACCAGCCTGGGAAGAAAGACACATGTATTAAACATTCAGCATAACTGAAGACCATATTCAGGCTGATGAGCTCATTTTAAAATGAATATTCATTATTCCTGAGATGACAGCCTGAAGTGAATGCACTAAATACTCTAATAGCTTGCTGATGCAGCTTTAAAGACATTTTTTAGCCTTGAAAAGCAAAGTTCAAACTAAACAGCAGTTTATGTACCCATGAGCAAAGAGATGGGCAGGAAGGAGGGAGAGGAGGGGTTCTGTGTACTTTGAAAAATGGTTCTATAGTACTTTATAAAAAGCACTCAATGAACTAAAAGTAGCCTTAAGGACAAGCCGTTAAAGGTGCTAAATAATTGATACCCAGTGCGTTTAATATTTCACTGTGTCGTGTGAAGTTTTGCAGTGCGCACCAAGTGAGCGAATCCAGGAGCTTTGATCTTGCAGCGAAAGGGTCTGCTGGAGCCATCTGACACCAAATAAACACCAAACTCTCCCTGCAAGCAACACAAACACACACACACACACACACACACACACACACACACAGTCTACTGAGCACTTTACATCACAGTAAATCCCCAGAAACTCACAAAGGCTTCCCAATTAATTAAAATTCAAACATTCTTCAGAGTCGAACACAAAGTAGATTTTTGTTTGTTTAAGATAGTAAAGCTGAGCTGTGGGGAGTGCATTAGAGCATGTGCACATTATTTAACTAGCAAAAAGGTGATTTTACACAGAACACTATAACCTGCCCAAATATGATATGAGTAGTATCACCTTTGGTGCCTCCACGGCTGTGTATGTGGCGCCTGGGGGGACCTGGTAGCCCTCTGTATACAGCTTAAAGTGGTGGATCAGAGCCTCCATGGACGTCTAGGACAAGGAGTACACAGTACATATAATGTCATGAGGACATATTCTGCACACCAGGCAGAATATGAAACAATGCCGAAATGTACTGTAAAACTGTAACACTGGAAAAAACTGCAATGTTTTCAAGTTCAAAAAGGCTTCAATCAGACCATCTGACAGAAAAGACGGAAAGGAGGAAGGTTCTCTCCTCAGATCACCTTCATCTCAGACCTCTTGGGTGGGGCCACTTTGGCATCATCCACCTTAATCTCTCCTTCTGGCATCTTGTTGAGTGCTTGGTGCATGATCCTAAGGGACTGCCTCATCTCCTCCACTCTGCACAAATACCTAGACCACACAAAAACACAGTGGATTATTGTGTTGTCTACTACACTGGCAACTGACTTTTACTCATTTTCAGACTGTGTGAAAATCTTCCACACAGTGAATGAACACAGTGCTGGCTTGACAAAAAAACAAAAGAGGGGCAGACAAAAGCAAAGTTAAAATAATAATAATAATAACTACAATAATTTGCAAGTCTTCACACCTGTCATAGCAGTCTCCATGGCTTCCAACAGGGACATCAAAGTCCACCTCATCGTACTTATCATACGGCTGAGACTTCCTCAGGTCCCACTTGATGCCCGAGCCTCTCAGCATCACTCCACTGGTGAAGGTACAAGAAGAGAGGGGATACCTGTCAGGGCTAAGACTCTCCATAGACGTGGCAGCCCTAAAATCTTGGTGAATTTCATAAACAACAACTGATGAAACAGAAGAAGGGTCTTTTCACTTTGATTACTGGGTTACCTGAAGCCATAGTTGAGGGCGTCCTCAGCAGAAATCACCCCGATGTCCACGGTACGATTCTTCCAGATACGATTGTTGGTCAGCATCTGCGTAGAGAAAGAGCAACAGATGTGGACATTTACTGACTGGGTCACAGCTTGTGGAGAAAGCTGATATAAAGTGTAGTCATTCACCTCTTCTACTTCATCAATTCTAACAGAGAAATTCTTGCACCACGTGTAGATGTCGTCCATTAGGCCCAAAGGCAAATCCTGGAACACATTTAAGATCATTAGCACTTGTATGGATGATAGAAAGTTATCTACATATAACTGTCTTTATAATTGCATGTTTACAGGGCACAGAAATGCAATAATGTAAAAAAATGAATCACTGACTACTGGACCACATCATCAGGTCTCACTATAAGTCAAACAGACATGAGACTTCTCCTACCTGATGAACTCCACCAGGTCGGACGTATGCGGCGTGCATTCTGGCTCCAGACACTCGCTCATAAAACTCAAACATCTGAGGAAACACAGTCAAGCAGAAGATTTAGGCAATGCTGTTAATGTCTATCTGTATGAACCAGCATCTAATGCAATACACAAAACTCTCACTGATAGGTCAGCTGCCCAGCTGTTGCATATTTCACCGCATTCTGTTGGAATCAAACCAATTGTAAAGGCAGGGACACACCTGACAACTGGATGAAACCTTTGAAGACTGGACAGATCACATTTAGACTGCTCCCACCAACTTGTGCAGACTTTTAGTCCTTGAAGGAGCACACATCTTATGCCTAAGTAAACACTGTGGACAACACACTTAACAACCGTCCGTAACGACTACCAAGTTCTGTCAGTAGACAAGCCTGTAAATCCCGTAAGATCACTCAAATTCTCACCTTGTCCTTGTAACAAAACAAATATGGATGCAACCAAAATGCCCTGTTAATATTTATGCATGGGTAACAGTTCAATTTGCAGTGAAAATGACATTTTCTAATACAATCCCTTGCCAAGCTACAGTGTTATCAGGGCCATGCATGTCAGGGAAGTGGAACAGAACAACTGTTTTCTCTGTCAACATGAATGGAGCGGAAGTGGTTGCAGTTTTACTGAACACGAAAATCCTCCAGCAAAAAAATGGACCAGACACCTCTTACCAAGTTCTCAAAAGGTATGATGCACAAGTTGGTAAAACCAGGTTGTGCTGATTTTCCCTGAAGGTTAAACTCTAAACTGCTAATTTTGTTCCAAAACCAGGTTGTGCTGATTTTCCCTGATGGTTAAACTCTAAACTGCTAATTTTCATACTGTTGTTCCAGTGAAACTATACAGTAGATGTACACTGATTTTAGGTCTCAGATTTTCTTCCATAGAACTGCATAACTTTCATGACTTCATATCATGTACAACTCACATGCTCTTTGATATAAAGGAGACGGTGTTATATTATACTGATATTAGCTGATAACACCGTATGTAAGTGCAGTCTGAGAACACACCAAATGACCTAAGTCGTAACAACAATATAGGACTAATGTGCCCCGTAAATGTTTAAGCATGACATCGTGCAGCGGTGATCCTGACCTTCTCTCTCTCCTCAAACATCCAGAAGAAGGGGGTCATGGCACCGACGTCGAGGGCATGTGTGGTGACGGCCATGATGTGGTTCAGGATGCGAGTCAGCTCTCCGTACAGCACTACAAACACCAATTTTGATAATTGATGAACACTTTTAAGTCATTTTTCAAGCAAAACGGTTAACATTTTACAGTTCAAAAAGTTTCAGGTGGATGTTTTCTACACTATGTGGTGATATCTCTGGGCTTTGAACTGTTCCAGCACCTTCATATTTTTTGATATTCTATAGACCAAGCAATAAATTGAGAAATCACTGGCAAGTCAGATGTGTACATCAGAGATGAATATAACATTTAGGGCCTTAAATCAACAGATTAAGAGTCTTAAGCTTTTGCAGAACCTGCACCCACTCTGACTACTTCAGTCCAGTACCTCTGATCCACTGTGCACGAAGAGGAGCTTGAATATTGAGCAGTTTCTCCACAGCCAGAGAGTAGGCCTCCTCATTACACATCATGGAAACATAGTCCAGGCGGTCAAAGTAGGGCAGAGCCTATAGCAGACACAATAAATAAACTGAAGCATATGCAATAAGAGACGTCTAAAAATTAAGAAATACATAACACATGATAAATTTCTTAACTGACACTGAATCAGTTCTGCTGATAAGCTTCATTTAGTCATTTTCAAGTAGTCCCTTGCTCTTGTCCCATCTACTTTTTACACAAGTCAATCCAACTCATGGAGTTTTCATTCTCCACAATATGTTGTGTTGAACAATATAAGGAGTTTTGTAACAAGATGTGCTGCAATTTACTGCTGTGTTGTTTAAATACACCACAACTGCTCTGTCTCTTAAAACCAAGAACAGCACTGCTGTTTATATAGTTCACAAGCTTTTCAAAGATTTCACAGCCTTTGATGCATGGATACATATAATCTAATTTAACCACGATCGAATAGATAAGAGTTACAGAATACAGACGCATTGTATTTACACATATTGTCAGTGAAGCAGTACCTGCAGGTAGGTCTTGTATTCAATGAGTTTCTCTGTGCCACGGTGAAGCAGGCCAATGTGGGGGTCACATTTCTTTACAGACTCTCCACTGAGCTCCATCACTAGACGCAGTACGCCATGTGCTGCAGGATGCTGAGGGCCAAAGTTGATGGTTAGGTTGGACACGTCCTTCACTGCAGGAGGATCTTTGTCTAGAGAAGAAAACAACACAGGAACAGATAAGGAAATCTTTCAGAATAAAACTGTATTGCATCAGGACTCGATTTTTTTATCCAACTGGGCTGTAACCATGCCAGTGAAATCTTTCACAAATGAAGCAATTTTAAATGCAATGTAAACAACTGTATAATGCTAGTTTTGTCTCCACAGGCCAAAACACAACATTAGTTTCAATAATGTGCAGGCTTAATGCATTTCTTATCAAACCTGTTACCATAAACTTATAGAAACAGCTGCTCAATATATTGGCAAACATCCTAAATCTAGGGTATTATGTAAATATAAACACTTTTATCACAGTGAGTCAGACAAATTAAGTCTGTCTCTATCTTAAGAAAAACATGTGGACTGATAACACCAGGCACAACAGTGGAACTAAGTCAAGGATTTTAACCTTGATTCCTGACAAAGCATGATGGGTTGTATTTTATTAATGTGTATTATCTTGCAATCTGACTTCATTTGCTTTTGGATAAATAACGGTTAAAACGAGTAGTAGTAGAGAACAGGTATCCTTTAACCAGTGATCTTAGAAGTAATACTGTGTGTGAGCATGGTACCATTCCATGGCGGTGGAGTCCATTTCTCATTAATAGCAGCGGGGTACATTACTGCTCCAGCAAACTGCTCCATCCACTCCACATCTGGCTGCCACTGTTTCTGCCTGCGAAAATCGTTTTTAAGAAAATGCTAAGTAGATACCATCTATCATACAACCTGCATTTTAAATCTCACATTGTTGAGGATGACATTTTGGTATGGGTGACAGTCTATGTTGACAGCTGATTAAGAGATTTGGATAATGGCAAACACAGTGGTGTTATAAATCGTGCCGTTACAACAGATATGTTATTTAACGCAAGTGTTGCAACACTGCAATACATGGTTGCATAAAAACAATGATCACGAGTAACCATAGATGTATTTTAAGCGAAACAAGCCTGTGTGGCAAACAATGAGACTAGCTGGCTAATCAGACAGCTAACAGCTACAATTTAGGTTACGGCTAGACAGCAGGGAAGCTAACATGCAACAAATGCCAGCTGTTAAGGATGACATACATTTTTTATATTTGTGCATGCCAGTCAAAGAAAGCAGAAAATGGACAAGATGACTCGTTTTATTATGAATAGACACAGTCGGCGTATTTAGGATTATGCCGACACTAGGCTTTCGGTATGCACATTTTTGTGAAGCCCAAGCTAAGACAACTAGCAATACAACGGTCACCCGAAGCGTCACATTTTGTCTTTTTGTTATCTTACCTATTTTGCAGAACAGCACAACAAGGACTCAGTAAATTATTATTTTGTATTATTTTTGTTGAAGGACGTCCTAGTCTGGTAAGCAACCTCAACATTGTGGCCGCCATCTTGGCTGTCTCACAACCACTAACCAATGACGTAATGAATTTCTTCTTTTGTTGTTTTAAAGCCGCACTAATTGTGTAACGTGTATGTCTCCCACCTATCGGTACGGAGAACACCCTGGCATGAGCTACTTGGTTGTGGGCAGTGAACTTTTGGTAAAACCCGTAGACCATATTAGAAGTTATATAAACATATATGATAAACACAGAAATTATTCACATTAAGGCTGATCATCTTCATAGCCTGTATGTAGTCTATAAGTAAACAAAATGACAAATAATTGCAATGAGGGAAAAATACACATAATTAAAATCATGAAAGAATAAGGAATAAACCCCACTATTATCTTTAAAAAGCCCTTCACTCAAGTATCTCACATGATTTTTATTGCTTGCTTACATGTAAACTGTCCTGTGAATTTGTCACGAACAAACACAGGTAAAGCCAATCAAAATGTATGTTATTAAAAGTACATTTAAACATATCATTCCTAATATTATTACACTACTAATAAATCCTGTACGGCTGTGTATAAGTATATAAAAGGCTTAAAACTGAGTTTCCACTCACCCTGAATTTGGGCTGCATTGCTTCTATGTTAAAATACCTATCTGCTTAGAGACGACAAACTCTTTATTTTATAAAAAACAGTGCTTTTATTTATGTAATACTGTGGAAAAATAATTACATACCATTTTTAAAAAATATTGAAGATAATGAAATAAAAAAATGAGAGTTTGATAATGTTTGTTGTACACCTTTTTAACAGTTTTCTCTGCTACGAAGAACAGTACAATAAGATAAACATTGGATTTTTCTAAATTCAGAGACACAATAATACAGGATACAGTCCTACCAGAGGTATAAAAGTACTTTAACAGGTTTGTGAGAGAAATGATATGAACATATACTGAAACACACACTCAAATTTAGACGCAGACACGCACACACACACATACTGTATACACGGTGACATGTGTACAACAGTCATGCACACACTCGCCACGTGTTTACAGTACATTTCTCATACACACACACAGTCATTCACACATCTATACAAACACACTGTACAAATCTAAGCGTGCGTCGACGCCTACACACTCCCTCTTGATCTCTCTCTCACACTCGCACACCCACACACTCAGTCATACATTACTACATGTCAATATTGTGAACAAGCCTTCACTGAACCTCTCTATACAGTTCTCCTCTAGCCATTTTGGCAGACAGATGATGAGGAATGATTCAAAATGGAAATGTATGACATGTTCCTCTATAAGGCCACGCAGTTCTAAACCCAACATCTGTGTTTTTCTCTCTGTCTGCACCAGGGTTTTACTTGAGAGCTCTGAGAAAAAAAGGCTCCAGCCTATGAAAATGTCTAGGAATGACTCAAGGCCCCGAGCCTGGTTTGTATAGCAACAGTCGCCAATAGAAGGAGCTTGTACTGCATATACATGGTCTAAGGTGTAAAATAACAGGAACACTTGGCACTAGGTTTCTTTTATACACTGATATACTCTTCTAATGTGAGATACGCCCTGAACTCAGGCTCCGCTGTTGGCACAACTCTTTGCTCTTTCTCAGTGGATTTCACTCAGGCAAACACCCAAGTCATGTGCGCTCACGTTCAAACGTTTGGTCCATACATACACATTAAATGTTTTACATTGACAAAAATAATTCTGTAATGTTAAAAAATAGAATACAAAGCTCTAGTTTGGTGTGCAAATAAAAAGAAGACATTACACAGATATAGATAAGGGACGTCTAAGCGTGAATACTGTAGATGCAGTGCAAAATGATGACAACCCTCCCAACCCTACCCCAAGCCCAACGCAGCGCCCCATATGGCCTAACAGACATGATGGCATGTACCACTGTACAGAAGGACATTCTGGGATACTATACGTATATATGTGCTCTATGATCATTGAATAAGACAACCAGCAAAAAAAATTTTCAAAATGGAGGCCAGAAATGACTTCCACTGGTTGAGGTTTCTTCCGAT